TTCTTCTGATGAAAAACAAATGTTTCGGTGGTGTTACAATAAGATAATTGATACCATAAAAATGGCTTTGCTGTCGAGGATCTCATTGTCATCCTTTATGATAATGATTTGTAAATAACAAACCAAAACAACTTTTCTTTGAACGGATATTGCCACTATAGAAACAAATGAAAAATTTAGTGAGGAAATTTTTGACCAAATAAACAGCACTTAAACTATGATTACTTTCACTATAAAACATTGTCAACAGGTGATAAGAGGTGATTTCGAAATAAATAATTTCTCAATTCGGAGATATCAATTCTCAATTATCAATCTACAATGATAAATATTAATTTTCAAAAAAGCGAAAAACGCATATCTTTACACTATAATGATTTGCGACTAATTATCAAATTAATCTCACTTGTGATCAATGGGAAATTAAGAAAAGAGTCTATAAAAAATTAAATTATATCTGTAAAAAATTATGAAATATTGAAAAAACTGACAAAAAACTCATAAGCTGCCGATGAATCTGCAATTCTAAGGAAAAATAACTATTTAAATTAAATTTTTCTGAAAATGAGTTATTAATGTTGTTTAATATTAATTTTAATTTAAATATTAATATTAGTATTTTAATGTTGAATTAGCATAAGATATTTATTGATAGGTGAGCCTTGATTTTTATGAAGCTTCATAGCCGACCTTGAAAATAATATTTTTAAAAGAATAATACTTTAAAATATAAGAAAAATATAAGAAATGGTTGCGACATAAATATCCTTCAAGAGGAAGGGAGTATTAAAGCCGTTATCGCAAGCAGTTATCAAAATGATGTTATAATTTATCATAAAAACAGATTATTTTAAATCGACATATTTCAAACTGCTTGTGCAATCAATTCGTTCTTTTATATTTATTTCTTCTCCCAGTTGATTATCGTTGACACCTTGGCTATGCGTAAGTTATCAAATGTTGATAACTTAATTTTAATTTAAATATTAAATATTCTTTGTTGATTCTGATATTTTAAAATTGTCGCTGACTTCTTTTTTTGAGCATCAAGAATAACTTATAATTTAATGAATGGTTGTAATGAAAAACGAAATAGTTAGCAATCATCATTTGTTTCTAAAGCACATTCCATTTGCATACGTAGAAATTTTCGCTGCAGATTTACTTCGGATAGATATGCAACAGGGTCAAGGAGTCAGCGGTATCAGGTTTCTTAAAGATCTGTTTAAGCCAGTTAAGATCAACGAATTGAGTCGAAAGCTGCGACCAAAATAGTACAGTACAGGAAGTGAAATGAAGCAACCGTACCAATCGATTCTGGTTCTATCTGAATAATAATTATAGGAATTAATTATATATTCAAATTGAGCCGAAAACGACGACGAATACACAGGAAGGTCAATGAAAAAAATTAATTAAATAGGAAAGGAATTATTGTACTTCGGTTATTTTCGAGTTGAAGATTTAAATTTTTAAGGAAATTTATAAAAAATTTCAGCGATATATGTGAAAATATTGGATGGAAAGGCGTTTAAGGTTGATGCTGACGAGCAGGAGACTACTGCTTCTCTGAAGGAAAAGATTGGTGAAATAGTTCAGCATGAGCCTTCCAATCTGCGCTTGATAGCCAATTAAAAAATAATGCAAGATGAAAGTACCATTGCGGATTATAATATCCACGAAGATGATATGTTACAATTCATATGTTTTTCCGTCATTAATATCCAATAAATCCTAAATAAAAGATTGTTTTGAAATTTCTGCTAGCAATTCATTTGAATTAAAATCAATATAGGATTTTTTAGGATTTTTTTGATAGGATTTTTTAAGGGAGCGATCACTTCGGGAGTAGGTTCTTCATTTCATTTCACTGCTTATATAATACCTATCGATATTCGCAATTATAACTTAGAAATTTTCAAAATATTTACCCAAATAAAAAATACCCATAAAAATGAATATAATTAAAAGCACCATAAAGTAATACCAAAAGTACCACATGCTTGTCATGAAAAACAAATAGCATTATTATATGATTAGAGTAGTTTGTACAATCATAGGACAAGTACAATGCATATTTTTAATAAAGCTGACATATTCAGCATAATGGAAAAAAAATGGCTTTGATTTCTCCCTGTGATTCTTTGTTATAAGCATCCGTAAATAACAAGCCAAAAGATCTTTTCTTTAGACGCATATTGCTACCATATTCTTTTGGGAAATTTCATTTGCTGCTTAATTTACTTTCTAGCTTCTTTGCTTATCTTTAAGTCTTGTTATACATTTTGGCAGATCACTCGGCAAAGTACCTTTTTTCGTTTCCAAAAATTTGCAAGTCATTTGCATGCATCATTAATAAGAAGGAAATAATAATAACTTGCAAAATGGAGAGAATTTCGCTTTTTAAATTTATTTATCATTAAACGTTAATAATTTTGGTAATATTTACGAAAAATGCAAGCGAATAATGTAAATATTTTCTAAGCCATGATTTTTGAAAATGTTGTCAACAAGTGATAAGAGGTGATTTCGAAATAAATATTTTCCAATTCAAAGAAATAAATAAATATTCTCAAATATTAATTATCAGCGATAAATATTTATTTTAAACATTATTAATATTAATTTACTATTAATATTAATTTAACATTATTTTTGATAATATTAAATATTAAAATTAAATATTAATTTTAGTGAATATTACTTAATATTAATTTTAAAAAAAGTGAAAAACTCAAATTTTCACATCATAGAGAATTTGCGATTAATTATCAAATTAATCTCACTTGTGATCTATGGGAAACTAAGAAAAAAATCCAGAAAAAGTTATGAAATATGTGAAAAAAATGATAAAAAAGTAAGTTGCCAATGAATCCATGATTTTAAGGAACAATATTTATTTAAATTAAATTTTTCTTAAAATGAGCAATATTAATGTTGAATTAGCAAAGGATATTTATTGATAAATGAGGCTGTCTTGTTTTTTATGAAGTTTCATGGTCGTCGTTAAAAATAATACATACATATAAAATACAATATAAGAAACAATAGCTGAGATGTGAATATTTTTCAGGCGGAACCATTGAAGTCTTAGGTCCCCCTAAATTCCCCTAAATCTAATTTAATTGTTGTCTGCTTAGATACCCTTAAATAAAGTTGTTCAAACGACCTGATAAGGTATGTATGGTATACGTGATAATATTGGCAAAGCTTTTTTGACTTCGAAGGAATGGGATTAAATTTCACGCAACAATTTATTTGAAACATTTTATTCAGCAACAGGAAGTGAAATAAAATATCGAATATGGTGAATTATTAAGTTTGTTTTTGAAGCCTTTGGATGTGGTAGAAGCGAAAATAACATTATTAGGTGAGTTATGGAAAAGTTTCGAAGATTAGATTTTGAAAATTTTGGAAGATTTCAGGGCGGAGTGAATATTAAAGACAGTCGCAAACAGTTATCAAAATGATAAATTTATCATAAAAGCACCAAATTATTTTCAATCGTTATATTTCAAACCGTGCTTTTGCAATGACTTCGTTCCTTTATATTCTTTTCTTATTCCAGCTGATTATAGTTAACACCTCTGCTATACGTAAGTTGTTAAAATTTTTCGTTGTTGATTTCCATATTTTAAAATCATTGCCGTTTTTTTTGAGGATCAGAAATAAATAGTTAATGTGAAACCAAGTAGTTAGCACTTGTTATTCATTAATTAGGCATGTTTCACTTATCGTTGATATGATTAGAAATTTTTGCCGACATATTACTTCAGGTATAAGCACAAAAAGTCAAGGAGGCAGCGCTTAGAAATTTTTAACGACATAGTTAATCGAGTTGGTATCAGCGAATTAAACCTATAGTAGTCGACCTAATTAGATAAGAATTATTTAATAGATTTTTTTAGTACATTCAAATTCAATTTTCAAAAAAATTTGTTTGAATAAAGTAATTTTTAGTAGTTTAAAGTAATTGAATTTCAGAGGTTTACGTGAGAAGTATAACTGGAACTTCGTTTATGGTTGATATTGAACGGTCGGATAAAATTGACTTGTTGAAAGAAAAGGTTGCTGAAAAAATTCATCGCACTCCTGGTAATGTGCGTATAATATACAATGGTAAACAACTGGAGGATGGACGTACACTTGCGGATTATAATATCGGGAAAGGGGATACAGTCCATGCAGTACCTCGCGACTAATTGCCAATAAATTACAAAATGGCCAACAAATAAATATTTTGGAGAATTCTTATTTCGCATCTTAAAAATATCGCATATAGTTCCATAAGAGTGTTCGTTTTCAATTAGACTCGTTGACCTGGTAAAATGAAGTGTTTTCTTGCAAAGGTCTCCATAAGTATATATATATATATAAAAGTAAAGAAAAGTAAAGTATATAAAGATGCACCTCCCGATTTTATGATTTATATTTTAATTAGGACACTGTTACGATGCTCAAAATAATCCTATATGTTTCAAAATTATTTATAAATTTCTCTAAGAGCTTTTTTTAAAAGACCTTTGATTAGAGTTAGTGCGATTGATGGGTAGAGTGAAGGATTTTTGCCAGCGATTCATTTAAAGTATAGATGGCACTATAAATAGGATTTTAGGAGCGAATTTGTTCCCGTCGACAGTTGACTCTTCACTTCGCTGTGCTTATATAGGATATACCTATCGATATTTGCAAGCATAACTGAGAAATAAAATATTTAATAATTTAAAAATAACCATAAAAAAGTATATAAGCATTCTTCTCATGAAAAACAAAAACTATTTCAGTGGCATTACAACAAGATTAATGATAAGATTAATGTAATTTGCAAAAGATACATAGGACATGTACAAGGCCTATTTATAAAATAGCCGAAATATTTTAGCATAGCTTTGGTGTCGAAAATCTTCTTATAATCTTTTGTGCTAAGCATTCGTAAAGCTCACCTCGCTTTTAACGCCATCCATCACATGGTTTATTTTTATGGTGATTTCACGATGATTTCATAAAGATTTCGTCAACCGGAAGAAAGCATTTCTACCTGCCGTAATCCGAGTTGTTATATCATCTTTTGCCTGCCCATTTGGTATTAGAGTGGACCCAAGGTATTTGAAATCGGGCACTACCTTAACCAGCAATGAATTTAAAAGAGGCATTTTATCATCTTCTTGCACATAAGACAAAAAGGCTTTCGTTTTTTTACGTTGATCGTGAGTCCTATTCTTGCTGTAGTTTCTGACACGTTATTTAGCATTACTTGCATTTCGTCATAACTATCAGCAAAAAGGACCACATCATCAGCATATTCTAAGTCTATGATGCTATGCTCTTGACTGATTTGGACACTCCTTGAGTATCGACAAGCGGTGCCCATTACCCAGTCTATCACACAGAAGAATATTGTAGGAGAAATGGCGCAACCTTGACGGACCTATAAATCTTCGAAGCATACAGTAGTCAGGATCACTTGGCTTTCATGCTTTGGCAGCTTTTTTAGAGAGTTGTAAAGTTGCTTCCGATACCCAACTAGCACACTTCCTACTAGTGTCCTAGCATGGAAGTGGTTGACTTTCGGAGACACTCCTTTAGTTTGGACCAGTATTCATTTACCGTTCCAGAAAAATCATTGAGATGCTTCAATAATTCGGTTTGAAATGCGCTCACTGTCCCCGAATTTTTTAGTTTGATATAGTTAAAGGAAATTGGGTGATGCTGTTTCCTGCGAGTTGTCAATTTTATGCGGAGAATAGCTCTAACCATAACATGGTCAGATCTATGAAGAATGCCCGTTTCTTCATCGCGGTAGGAACGACTATCTGGTACAGAACTCTTCCAATGGCAATTGACTAGGATATAATCAATCTAGTTGAAATGTTAGTCATCCGGGGAGTTCCAGGTGATTAGATGTTTTTTACGATGCAGGAAGCAAATATTAGTAATGAAAACTTCATGCTTTTCGGCATAACGAAGTAGGCGTTCCCCATTGACGCACCGGTCTCCGATGCCATATTTGCCAATTGTTGAGGTCATCACAGCTGCATTATTACCTATGCGCTTGTTCCAATCTGTCTGTACTATGACTATGTCATGTTTTGGAGACTTTGTTGCGAATTGAAGTCCCGCATAGAACTTATCTTTACCCGTGTCATCTGCCGATAGAGTTGGATCACAGACACTGATGACCGAGATATTGTAGAACTTACCTTTAAAATGGGCACAGTCCATACAGTCGATTACCGGTTTCCACTCAATCAGTGCGGAATGGGTTGTGTCAATTATGACAACCATTTCGACCCGAATTATCCGAAACGCCACAGTAATATAGCTAGTAAACTTATGATTTATTTATTTATCACTATATGTTAATTATTTTGCCAATATTTACGAAAAATGTAACCGAATAATGTAAATATTTTCTATGATTGTTATCAATAATGTTGTCAACATGTGATAAGAGGTAAATTCGAAATAAATATTTTCCAATTCAGGGAAATCAACAAATGTTCTCAAATACCAATCATCAGTGATAAATTTTAATTTTAAATATTAATTTATGATTAATAATTTAATTTAATATTATCGATATTAATTTTAATATTACTTAATATTAATTTTCAAAAAAGCGAAAAACTCAAGTTTTCACATCATAATGGTACTTGCGATTAATTAATCAAATTAATCAAATTAATCTCACTTGTAATCTATGGGAAATTATGAAAAAAATCCGTAAAAAATTATGAAATATGTGAAGAAATTGATAAGAAAATAACTTGCCAATGAATCCATGATTTTAAGGAAAAATATATATTTAAATTTAAATTAAGTTTTTTTCTTGAGCAATAATCTTAAATATTAATGTTGAATTAGCAAAGTATATTAATTGATAAATGAGGCTGTCTTGTTTTTTATGAAGTTTCATGGTCGACGTTAAAAATAATACATATAATATATAATATAAGAAACAATGGCTGAGATGTGAATATTTTTCAGGCGGAACCATTGAAGTCTTAGGTCCCTCTAAATTCCCCTAAATCTAATTTAATTGTTGTCTGCTTAGATATCCTTAAATAAAGTTGTTCAAACGACCTGATAAGGTATGTATGGTATACGTGATAATATCGGCAAAGCTTTTTTGACTTCGAAGGATTGGGATAAATTTCACGCAAAAATTTATTTGAAACATTTTATTCAGCAACAGGAAGTGAAATAAAATATCGAATATGGTGAATTATTAAGTTTATTTTTGAAACCTTTGGATGTGGTAGAAGCGAAAATAACATTATTAGGTGATTTATCGAAAAGTTTCGAAGATTAGACTTTGAAAATTTTGGAAGATTTCAGGGCGGAGTGAATATTAAAGGCGGTCGCAAACAGTTATCAAAATTATATCAAAATTTATCATAAAAGCACCAAATTATTTTCAATCGTCATATTTCAACAGTGATTTTGCAATGTCTTCGTTCTTTTATATTTTCTTATTCCAGCTAATTATCCTTAACACCTCTGCTATGCGTAAGTTATCAAATGTTTTCTTTGTTTATTCTGATATTTTAAAATTGTCGCTGACTTCTTTTTTTGAGCATCAAGAATAACTTATAATTTAAT